CTATCCATACATTTTACTACTTAGTAAAACTGCACACAGACTGCAAGAGATAACTAGTCCTAGCTTATGTATTCTTACATTGCTAGCTGCAGCAATTACATATTCAAATGACTTTTTTTAGTAACACGTTACAACTTTTTATTATGGTATTGTCTAAAAACCTAATTACCTAATTGATATTTCATTAAAACATTGACTTAATTATAAATATTGTATAGAGCAGCACTCTATGGGCAATAGGTGGAGAACACTCTGGTTGCCAGTCCAAAGCAGTGTGCTTTCAAATTCATGAAAACACTGAAACTCTGTAGTGAAACACTTACATGATTAGTGGTTAGTGCAGAGGAAAATCAAAATAAATCTGCAAATGTAGAACTGATGAAAAAAAAAAAAGCAATTTAGATTTTGGACAAAATAGTTAATTCCTAATTGTAAATAACTAAGCAGAACAAATCAATCCAGTGGTTAAAAATAATACATGAGGAGTTCTACATATAACATACCGTATATACAGGGCATTTTATCTTGAAAATGTAAAGAGTTCCTCTACAGGTTTTGCTCACTGCTCCGAATGTTTTTGTTCTTTTAAAAAATATCATGTTTTAGAGTCTTTTTACATTATTATTGTATATTTAATTAATTCATGATAATTGCACTCCTCGATTAATGACGATTAATCCAATTGATTGTTATAGCCCCACACTACAGTCTACAGAGGGAATACTATTAAAAAGCTGTTGGGCGGCTAAAAAGACAAACATATGTTAGAGGTGGTTTGTATCTGAAATTTCAAAGGGGTGTTGTACGTAGTTTTAAAAACAGCACGAAAGGCAGTTGTGCCAGCAGTGATATAGTTAGAAATACATATTTTTCAGAGCCCATGGATCAGTTCTCCTCTGCCACTCACTGCTGCCCGATCTCCTTACCACCACACCCGCATGGTTTCCCTTGCAGGTAGTGAGCTGCTAGGGAGGCCTTGCCTCTCTCGTTCAGGATTGTCTGGCATGATAACCCCATGAGCTAGGCGCTTTCCTAATGAACTTCAACCAAGGCCTGGCTACAGGCTGAGTTCCTGGCTTTGCTGTACTGGGTGTCATCATGAAGGCTTTTGAACTGCTGTTTGTCTGTCAGATTCCAGGGGAAACTGGGGACATGGAGTCTGAGTTGACCATGTCTTCTGCCTCTATTGCCAATGGGTCCACCCTGATTACCCTAGGTCCCTGGTGTTTGGACTATCAGAGTTCACACACCTCTTTAATATTGTGTGGTGGTTTGAGACAATGTCCCTGGATTGGTGGTACCCATTGAAGTGTGTTCCAACTAAAGGGGGGAGTACACATCTTGGCCTTCCAAGGAAGACATATACCAGCATGTTAAAGATGAGAGTCCAGCTAAATGTTTAACTTCGGCCTCTAGAAGAGCAGTGTTGTTCCCGTTCCATCCGTGGAACACTAGACCCAATCTCGACTAGGGGTGTGCAAAATAATCGTGATGATGATGCATCGTGATTCTAGTTTTCGTGATCTACTGCATTGATTCTTGATGCCAAGAATCGATTATTAATTTTAAAAAATGAATAAATAAAATTGCATGAATGGTTGGCGAACATCAGCCAAAAACAAGTGTAATACAACTTCCAGTCCAGTAGATGTCGCTGCAAATGTGTTGACGCACGCTGCCTTGTGTCACAAGCATTTCCGACCGTGGGATACTGTGCCGAGTCATTCAAGAACAAAACATGGAGGAGAAAATATTGCAATGCATCGCAATAATTCAAGTATTGTGATGCATCGTGATAGAATCGCATCGTGGCCTGTGAATTGTGATTCGAATCGAATCGTGACTTCTTTGGCAATACCCACCCCTGATCTCGACCCACTGAAGAGTGCTTGAAGGATCATGAGAGCTTGCCCAGATGGGTCCACAATTAGGGCTGCAACAAATGATTATTTTGCTCTGTCAGATAAAGGCATGTTTTAGAGTCTCTATACTTGAGTTAATTATTGATGAATTACCATATTAGTTGACAATTAATTCAATAATTGATTATTCACTATTACTTTGATTTATTGATTCAGCCTATTTAGGTCAGAGCTGCTTACCCTCCACATCAGGAGGAGTCAGCTGAGAAGACTTAGACTGCTGCCCCACGTTCTGGATAAATCAAGGACAACCAGTAGTATGATATATTCTTAAAATGTATTCTTTTTGCACAGTGAATGAACATACTCAAAAGTTAATTTTTTTATGTTCAGTTCAGAATATGTTATTGTACTAAAACATGAATTTATTTGAGAGGGTTTTAACACATCTTTATCAGAAATACAAATCATGGCAATTCTATTTTGCAGTATAGCCTAAATAACTGAGTGAGAAGATTGTTCCGCCAGAGATCACAATATACCACTAGTGAACAGCAACACACAGTCACATCCTGCAGCATTTATTAAAGCATTTCACTTCATTTTCATAACAACTGTAGCATCACTTTGAAGCTTAAACTAACTTTTTTCTTCAAATGGGACAAATGAAAAGTACATAGATTCCTGAAACCCTGAGGACTTTTACTCCATTCATAGTCTTCCACCTGCCTCTGGTCAAAAGAAACTGCTTAAAGAAAATTAATGTGATGACTCAGAGTTTATGCAAGTTGTCTACTTAGAACTTGGGCAGTTTTCAGATCCTTATTCGCAACTTGTCATCAGTCTAAATTAGAATTGATTGGCTGCATGTTTATCTTGACAAAGATGGATTTGGAAGGAAGTAGTATCCCTGAAAGCAATTAGAAATTGAGAGAGTATCAAGAGTAATCCTCTTCTCACATGTGTTTTAAAGAATTAAGAGAAAAAAAAGACACTTGATGTTGAGATGACTCATAGATTTTTCTCTCGTCTCTTTTTTTTCAACACATGCTGAAGTGTAAAGAAACCCATGTTGCTTTTAAAACATTTGTACTGGTCCAGCAACTCCAATTTAATAGCGTGTACAGATGTGGTAACAGAGCAATGTTAAAAGGAAACCATAAACATCTGATCCCCAGCGACATAAAACACACATTTCTACACCGCAGAGCTAAAATACAAGCAGTGAGGGTAGAGGAAACTCTTTACATACACACCCTCTGTAGACATCCCTGGCCTCATAAACTCTGTATACCCTTGCCAAGGAGTTGATTACAGGGAGATTCCATCGTGTAAATCCTGCAGCTTCTCTAAGGCCTGTAGTCTGTCACGATCGACTGTGCTGTCCAAAGCTGGCTTACCCAACATGAGCATTTGCATGGAATTAACCAAAGTGACACAAATCCCATCTTTACTACTAATAGAGGGTTTGGATTTAGCCTTTTTAGGCTAAATATCTATGTGTAATTGCTATAAAGGCTCTACTTATTTGTTATTCCTGTAACACTGGGTTACTCTTACATGCCGGTTCTTTAACTTATGCTTATGTTCTGATGTGTCATGCAATTTTAATGAGATGTACAGTACTGCTCTTTTCGGTGTGATTACCAGCAGCTTGGTTTATCCGATTTGGTGTAGAGGTTGCTAATGACATGAAAAGGCCCATTAAGGGCATGATAAGCATTTAATGAAGTTAAATGTGTTAATGCTTGGACAGCAGATGATGGATCTTATTATGAAAAGCAAGTTAAAAAAAGGGGAAAAAAAGCTTTTAATGTGCAGGGGAGATAAAGAAGTCCAAAAAGGTGATTTATAGTAATAATCTAGTTTCATCTAATGCAGTATTTCTGGATACTGATGCTGTTTTTGGATTACCTGTTGTGAGAGATTTCTGTGATTCCCTCTGAATACAAGATTCATAATCCCTCATGCTCTCTTCTGTTTTTGTGAGTTATGCTCAACAGACAAACTAGAACAGACCAACTAGAAATGTTGCTTTGAAACCCAGTCAGTTAAGTTTTTATTTGTCAGTCAGCCTTTATTTGTTTCATTTTAAGATTTTTCAACTCTTGCATATTTTTTGGCAGTAATTTACTTTTTGTAACTCCATCATGCCTGATGTCACTGTGACCATGCAGCTGCAAACAAGGGCTGCTTTTCCATTCCCGTTACAAACACTCTCTGTGCCCATCTGCTTTTACACAAAATATCATTTCACAGTATCTACACAGACATGGACAATACCTACTTTTGATGCAATAGACATTTAGCTCATGCTAAAGTCAGAGATTACAAGCAAATTAAATGATGAAAATTCAGCATTTTGTCCCTAGGATACTTAGAGGGCGTTTGTTTTACATCTGTGCAGTTGTGTTCAGGTTTGAATTTGACTAAATTTACATTACGTCTTATGACCTGAATCAAAGAGAAGCATGAAACAACCTGTGAACATGGAAGCTTATATTCTCTACTCCCCTATACTGTTAAAGTTTATACTGTAACCCTTGTCTTCATCATTCACAGCAGCAGCAATCTCTGGCTCTGACCTAAACAGAGATCATTTCTCCTCCTTGGCTGCGAAGGGAGCCTCAAAGCGCATATTTACACATGGTGAAGACTGACTGTTTGAGCAGATGCTTTGTTTGTGGTCTGGACTGACATATATAGACTCCATTCTGCTCTTCCTTTAACTCACCAGCGATAGGCCCTAAGGGTGAAGCTTATAGGCTCAACCCTTAAAGTTCTGCTCCTCACTGGTTTCCATGGCTTTAAAAAAGGGTTATTTGGAATTTGATTCTCCAGGACCAATAGACAGTGAAACCCTGATAGGGCCACTCGGCAGGTATTTGTGGAATAAAATGCAGTGAGGACGTAGAGGGAAAAATACATGACTTTAGACCCTAAAGGACATGTTTAAAAATGGAGTAAGAAAGGGGGAGGTAAGGCTAAAGATGTTTTGAACACGGCATAAACACTCTTATAATGCCCATATTTTTTATGAGTGTTGCTTTTTGATAGATGTTAGATAAAAGCTGCTGTGCTTTTCGTTTCACTTCAATTTCTTGAATGTTTAACATTTGTTCTCTTTTCTCTTCTCAGGGGTCTTTTTGCAAGCCACTACACTGAGACGCATTACAGGGAGGATGGAAGTGCAATCACTGGTACTCACAACTTCACGGTACGCTGAAACTCCGGGGCTTGTGGTCACATCAAGTTGACATGGTGCAACGCCCTGAACTGACATTGTATAAAATGTTCAAGAAAGATTCCTTTTCTTCGTTTTAGTGGGATGGGGGGAAGTTTAAGAAAAGGCATTTAGATTAAATTTAGATCCAGTTGCGCTAAGGTGTTAGAAAGCCCTCTCAGGTTTTAAAACCTGGACATAATGTGGCCTATTTGATGATAAGCTACCCTTCATACTTGTCCTTTTCCAGCCAGCCTTCGCATCAGGATTCCTCATGAAATCCCTTTTTAGCTGCTTTTTTTCTTGGTCATATGTTTGTTATGTTTCTAGGGGGAGCGGCACAAGTAAAAGATTGTTCTTCACTTTGAATTGATAGTTGTTGTCAAATCTACTTGCTGCGGTTCTTGGCTGATTGAAATCAGCTCAAGTAAAGGGGCCAGAGTATTGTTCTTCAGTGATATTTCATTTTACTTGGCTCCAGATTGCTATTATTAATACCATACAGCATAGGAGAAACAGTTTTGATGGCGGTATAGAAGCCTGTGATTTATTGCATTCAACATTTCTGCTATGTAACAACATTTGTCTGTTGGCCTTTTGTATCTCAGTTGGAGTGAAATCACAGTGTTTAAGTGAACAGCTGTGGGGACATTTTAGCAGTTCACTCACAGCTTGGAGCCGCGGTTCTCCAGTTTAGCTCTGAATGTCGTTTATAGTTTCTTTCCTCCCACACACAGCCTTACCCTCTCTCTCCCACAGTTCATTCCCAGTTGATGGATGCTGCAAGCGTCTGACATGCTGCACTGCCTTAAATAACCTTAATTGAAAAACAAACTTTCAGTTTCTGTCGTCACCATTTTGTTTACCATAATTATTAATATTAGGAATTGGTAAAAGGAAGAATCATATAAATAAACTACCAAAACACAGCAAAAGAATTCAGCCCTTCAAGCTTCAGGATGAAATTAGTCATTTAAAAAGACAATTAAGCCCTCCCACTGCAACCTTACTTTTTCAAGCAGCTCCTACCAATCAAGTGTTGACGTGTGTGTGTGTCAAAGATGTGCTAAAAGAAAATTCACTAATGATGGGATCCCCACTGTGTTGCTTAAGACACCTTTAGCCATTAAATCCTGATCCTAGATTGGACTTTGTTGAACATCATACATTTCCTGATTTGAGTTCAGAGGGGTTGAGCTAAAATGCGGGTTAGAGGTTTAGTTTTCTCTTTGCACCTTTTGAAAAACAATCAGCCTGATATGTTTCTTTGTGAGAGCAGAGATTAACTGGGTCAAACAAAGCAAAGCCATGACTGTAATGTCTTTCTACTAATGGGTATCATTATAGCAGCACCCGAATCACTAACCTCCACTTACCTTTTCTTCTAAACCTCAGTATATTAGACGGCAAATGGAGACCTTACTGCCCAGCAGTATTTAAGGGGAAGAGTTCCGATTTTTTGAATTCAGTATCTGTTCAAATTTTAGAAAACAGTTAATAATTTACCTGATATGTATAACTCTCCTGATGTATACATTTTAAATATATTCAGAAATTATAACCACAAAAGCTTGTCCAAGAGAGATCAAAGCAGATTTCTACAAGTTCAAAGCAACCCAAATATCAAAACATGCCACTACAGTTCCTGCAATCACTGTTGTGTAAATATTTAAACTTTTAACATACATGTACTGATTAGTTATTATAGAAAAGCAAGTAAAGATAGTTTAAGTTAAGGTTTAGCCTAAAGGACCAAATAGACATGTATTTATATGGAAGGAAAACACAAACATTTCTTTACTTTTGGTCAAATTCAATGTCCTATAAAGAGTGTTTTCCACTAGATGACTCTTATGTGATGGAATGATGCAGGATATTTGCATATTGCTGTCACCTCACATGCATGTCAGCTTTCCTGCTTCTCCCCGAAACCGTGCTGACTGCATTCATTTTAAGCGGCCTGATTGTGAGGAGCAGTAGAGGAGCAGAAACCGCTCAGCAGAGCATACTAATTGAAAGGAACATGGGTATGACAGAATAAGCATTGTGTCATTTTGTCTTGTCCTCTTTTGCTCTTTTGAAGTGAAGTTGGAGGAACAATAGCACCTCACAAAATGACAAGCACCTTTCCTTACTGTTTTTTGTGTTTTTTTTATTAGAAAGCCTTGCAAATGTTTTATAGGTGTTTTTTTTTTTTTTTTTTTTTTTTTTTTTTTTTTACATTTTATAATATTGCAACCAAAAATGTTTTTTTCTTTATCGTAGGAGTGTTGTGGTTGACAAACATAAACTTTGTATTCAGTCCTTTTTAGTCACAGATTTCATTAAGAACCAGAGACCCAATGCTTGTAGAGATCCTCAGGGAGAATCATGCCTTGTAGGAGTGGCAAGAAAAGGGATGATTATTCAAAGAAAGACTTAAGTAATCCAGTTTGCCGTTACATAGGAATCAATTAGAGGACAATGCAACCATGGGTTGCAACATTTTCCCCCTGATAATTTGAGCTAAATGCTAAGAATTGTGGTATGTGCAAAGTTGGTAAAGACACTAGCAACTCAGGGAGCTGAAATCCGACGGGTACTACGCTTCTCAGGACTTCATTTGCTAAAATGTGATGAAAATCATGTGTTGTTAAGTTTTTATAAATATATCTAGAGAACTTAAAGAGCTATTAATACTTTTATAACACCATTTTATATCAAGTGGGTTTTCTATTAAATTTTCTTTCTAAAATGGGAGGACTGTTTCTCTTTAGAACAACTGCTACTACCACGGAGAAGTGCAGGAGTATCCAAACTCTGATGTAACCCTCAGTGCCTGCTTGGGCCTTCGGTGAGTGACAAGTAAATCATTTTGTATTCAATGTGCATCTCAAAGCTGCCCTTTAAGTCCTACTTGCTGCTGCAGAGTTTGGAGTTACTTAAGTCACTCAGTGCAGCAGCCAATCATTCTTAAGCCTCCTTAAGGCTGTTGTCAGTAAGCTGCGGTGCACCTCTCAGGAGTAAAATGTCACACAAATGTATTTGTAACCGAGACGCTTATTGTGTACTTGGTTTCAATTTGACAGTAATTTGCATCTGTTGCTAATGGTAAATCAAGTTTTGCTGCTTTGATGAAGTAAGTGTTTACCAAGTTGTAAAATGTTGCTTTGTTGCCTCTCTTGTTATTTAGCTTTGACGCAGATTGTTTCATTAAGAAACTAAGATACTTTCTGAATCAGAGTTTATAAAAAAAAAGTTGTATGTGGTATTCCAGGTTTTATTGCATCTAAATTTATTTGCTTATATTGCAGAGTTTTTATGTGCAAAGTCGTTGGTTTTTAACCACAGCTACATGTGGCCTAATAAAAACACTTTTCAGGAAAAAAAGTGGGCTAGAAGCTGCCTCAGTTGTTCCATTAGAGACAGCCACATTTAATCAAGGCCTGCATTTGAGAAAGTGCTCAGGCTTTGAAGCTTTGTTTTCTTACTTGGGATGTTTTCTCTGCAGAGGCTTCATTGCACTTGAAAACAAGGCATTTGTTATTGAGCCTGTATCTGGCAGTGACGCTCGGGCCCACTTCATTTATCGAGCGGAAGAGCTCAAAGTGACCCCTGGAGCCTGTGGCCATGGCTTTAATTTGTCCTCTGTTACCCCTGAAACCTACATCAAAAGCCCTTTTCAGTCTTTTCACACAAGGGTGAGTTCATATTGTTGCTTTTATTGCAAACCAAAGCTCTTAAATCATTATTTCTCTTGTATTTCATCATCACTATTTCTGTAAAGACTACTATTGAGCTTATGATTAGATGTTAGGCATTTGACCAAGGATGAGAATATTGGCTATCACACAGATTTGGAAAGGTTCCCTAGAGGGGTAGCTTTGGATTTGACACTCATTTCATTTGTGTTAAGAGCCCAGAAATGAGGGCCCGTGCAGACCATTTGGCTGATCATTTGCATTGAGCAGGTGCAGCATCCATCTGCCACTATTTCCAAACATTAGGAACTCTATTTGAGGCAGGAAGTGAGCCTAACCCTAAGAATTTAATGGGCTCAGAGTTAGACAGTATCTCAGTTTAGGGGTTCATTCAACAGAACTTAGTATACCTGAAAATATCACATATTGTATGCAAACAAAGATACATAAATACAAATAACAATTTCTGCTGGATTTAAGCTATCATCTTTGTATACCTTTAGCTTTAAAAATATTGAGAAAGGCAAAATCTTTGGTTTAGATCTAAAGGTGGAATTTTATTTGTAAAAAAGCAATGATGAAAATAACACATTCCGGTGGCCGGATCTTCCATAAAAAATGTAGTTTTTAACAGAGGTGTCAAAAGTATTTATGTTAATTAGAAGTATTAATTCTACTTGAGCTTTTTAACTTAAGCTTTTCAATCAAGTAAAAGTGTAAAAGTACAGTTTTTAAAGCTAATTAATGTATAAAAGTAGAATTAGGCTTTAATTATTAAGCTAAGCAACTCTGGATGATAACTTCCTTAGACCTAATTGTCTGTATCAAATATATGAATCATCTTGAAATGCAATTTATTTAAGTATGTGGTGAACAAGAAGTTGGTACGGTACCGAGACCAACCACAAAGAAATTAATTGTCTTGATAAGACAAATTATTTTTATGTTTTTTGTTTTATTTTAAATACCACCAGGCCATAACGAAAATGAAACAAAACTAACAAGTTTTGTGGCATTTTTAAATGTAAAGAGTAGAAAATTAAGATATTAGCAAAAAACAAATGTAAGGAGTAGAAGTAAAACGTTGTCCAAAAAATAATTACTCCAGTAAATATAAATAGTCAAAATTTCTACTTAAGTAAGATAAGAAAGTATTTGTTCTTGTTACTTGACACCTCTGGGTTTTAGTTTATTGCCCCTGTTAAGAGCTGGAAAATGGTTTTTAATTTTGGTTCTTTTTTTGCCATTTTTATTCCTCCCAATTTAGCCCGAATATATTAATTGTTCGGAAATGATTTGCCTTACCGGTATTTTGTTCAAATAGAAAGACTTTTTACAAAATGACTTCTATTTCTTCATAATTAGACACCTTTTAAATAACAGGATTAACTATATGAGAGCAACTTATACACTTTCAAAATTTCAAAATAAATACAATTATCAATGTGAATATCAAGCATGGAAAACTATCTGATAAAAATGTGCATTTAGATGACAGCTGGCCAAAACTTGCCTTTGTCTTTAGTGGAGATAAAATTATTCTACTTATTTTCTTCTAAAATTATTGAGCTTACTCATAAACTATAAAGGTAAAATGTTGTTTGATTATTGATCATTAGCTTTGATGGTATTTCTTTTAGTGTGCTTCATAAATACTTACACTGCACTGAATATATATATATATGAATGTCTGTACAATATAAATGTGTTGGTGAGCAGCCTTAACAATTCATAGACTGACCAATCAGGAAAAATAAAATCTGTTTCAGTTCTTAGCGCACAGATTGAAATTATTAAGTAAAATTCAAAACAAAATATTTTCTTCATAATTTTAGAGTTTAGATCAAATCATTTCATAAAAAGATATAATACAACAGTTAAGTTTTTTTGGAAAAGAAAAAATAAATTTTGTTATGTGTTTCATGTGTTCCTTCTAAATATTGAATTGAAAGAAAAACAAGGCCATTATTTTTTAAATACCTTAAAAATTTAAGATGTTGCTCATTTTTTTAAAATACTTTAATTATTAAGAGACCTTTACCTCTATTAAATCCCATCCTGTAACAGAGATAAGATCTCAGATAATTTTTTCGCACTAAAGCCAAAAGCTCTACTTATGTAGGTCGTTGTTCAAAAATGCTTTTCAGAAGTTACAGACTTTAAGGAGATCAATGTCTATGTTAAATTAAACTGAGAAAAATTGTTTAGAAGATAAACTTTCAAACTTTAGTAACTTTCTAACTTTTTCCTGACTTATTCTTATTTTTCTTCCTCAGCATAAAAGGAATGCTCAAAAGACAACCAAATACGTGGAGCTGATAATCGTTGCAGACAACAGAGAGGTAATGAAACTTCTTTTCTGCTTAACACCATAAATGTGTTAAAAACCCCACCATGCCCTAATGGTATAAGCATAAAGAAGCACAGTAAGCTGCTGTAAACGCAGAACAGGTCTCTCTGGAAGCTGCTGAATGTGGTGAGTGTGCAAAAACCCACCATGTTCCTGCAGCAGTAGTTTTTTTTTTTTTTTTTCTCTCTTAGCAGGCATTTCTGTTTTGACTTCCTTAACAAAGCAAAAAGGAAACTGGACAAAGCCGCTTGAATATACAGGAGTGTCCCATAAGCACTGAAAAACTCATTTTGGGGTTTCCTCTTCCTATCGCTCTGCTGCTACCATTGACCTGAATGGAAAGAAAGGAACTCAACATAAATATGAGAGGTTTAATGTGTTTCTCAGATTTAAAGTGCAGGTGGATCACACAGCAGGGTGAAAATAGATGGTTGGACTTTGCTTCAATTTGCATCCAAAGCCTTGGTGCCTGTTTTGTCTGCCAGTAGACCTGCTCCCTGCAGTCACGCCATACGTCTCTGTAACATCGGGGATTTTTCTAGATCCAGATGGTCACAGCTTGACAAATACCTAAAACACACAGAATGGAAAACAAAATATTGCCTTGGAAAATTCAAAGAAGCCAGCAACGCTAAATTTTCCCTTTGAGTGCATTCACTGATATTGAATTGGTCAAAAGCTTGTCCTCCATTATTTTATCTCAAAGCATGCATCATGTGGATCCTAATTTGTCACACAGCTAACATGCAATTTCTTTTAGTTTCAGAAACAGGGAAGAGACCTGGAGAAAGTCAAACAACGGCTGGCAGAGATAGCCAATTATGTGGACAAGGTAAAACATGTTCACTCCAGTTGTGTGAGGGGAATAAATCACTTCTTCTTTTTTTTTTTTAATAGAACTTCTGCTGGTAGCAGAGATTAATGAAAAGGGATGGTGTGATATATTAATTTTCCGTTAAAGCATCTGCCTTAGATGTGAACCAGAGCCGTGGATCTATTGCTTCAACATGCAGCAGGCAGACTGATATATTTTAGGGAAGCGCTGATATAGCATTGGGAAAGATATACTCTGTGTAAGAAAAAAACTAAAACAAATCAGTTGATGTATCTTCGGCTCTGAATAGCCTTTGAAGCTTAAGCGGTCTTAGAAATATGATATAGATCATACGTTACTAGAGTAAAACATCTTTCATAGTGTTTTGCACATCTGTACAAAGAATGTAGGGCATGTTAAGCTTAGATCTGACTCCGCTTTGCACCATCCTTAGTTTTACAGGGCCCTCAACATCAGGGTGGCTCTGGTTGGTCTGGAGGTATGGAGCGACTCCGATAAATGCCCCATCACTCAAGATCCCTTCAACACCTTGCATGAGTTCCTAGACTGGAGGAAGGTGAAACTGTTGCCCCAGAAACCTCATGACAACGCCCAGCTCATAAGGTAAATGATAAGTTTGACCTCAAAATGTGACATCAGTCGATAATGGGGACAGGTATCATTAAGGAGTTATAGATACTGCTACTCTTAACGATACTCCTTATCAATCCTGCAGTTTATTTATATTTTTTATTAAACAAAAGGGTTAAAAAATTAACAATGAGGACTGGCTGTTTTTTAAAATGTTTAGAATAAAAACACAAAATAAAGTAAATGTAAAAAAAATGTATACAAATATTAAATGAAATGCAGTATAGAAATATTTGTTTACAAAAACAAAAGGCTAAAACACTATATCATACAAAAGTACGTTGTGTAATTATGGCAGGGAGGAATATCTGGCTGGAAAGAGTGGATCTACAAGAGGCAGGCGGGTTGGTGAGAATAAATTGCCTGTGGAAGCAACTGTAAGAAAATAGATGACATACAAGACCATTGATAATCTCCCTCCATCTGGGGCCAATGTTAGATCTCATCCTGTGGGGTCCAATTGATCATGAAAACAGTAAACACAAATCCCAGGACTATACGGAGGGACCTGATAAATGAGCTGCAGAGAGCTGGGGCCAAAGTAGCAAAAGCTAACATCAGTTACAGACTACAGTGAGAGGGACCCAAACCCTGCAAGGCCAGGTGTGTCCCTCTGCACACAGTAGATGTCCAGGACCATCTGAAGTTTGCCAGAGAGCATATGGAGGATCCAGAAGAGGATTGGGGGAATATCATGTGGTCAGATAAAACCAAAATAGAACTTTTTAGCACAAACTCAACTGATCATGTTTGGAGGAAAAAGAAAGCTAAGTTGGATTCCAAGAACATCTTACTGTACCTGCTGTAAAGCATGGAGGTGGGAACATCATGCTTTGGGGTTGTTTATTCTGCATGGGGACTGGGTGACTGATCTGTGTTAAGGGAATCATGAACAGGGTAATGTTAAAGAGATTTTAAGCCCAAACCTCCTTCCATTGGTGATAGCGTTAAAGCTGGAGCATGATAATGATCCAAAGCACACTGCTAAAGAAATAAAGGAGTGGCTCCATGAAAAAGGATTGGCCTAGTCAGTTTCCAGACCTCAACCCCATAGAAAATCCATTGAGTTGAAAGTTTCTGTTGCACAGCAACAGCCCCAAAAGATCACCACTCTAAAGGGGAGTGTATGAAGGAATGGGCCAAAATTCCAGCTACAGTGAGAGCAATGTGCTGTCCTTCAGTCCTGCATTGTCTAGCCATATATATATATATATATATATATATATATATATATATATATATATATATATATATATATATATATATATATATATATATGTATAACATATACATATATAGCAATTTTGAATTTAACTAATTGAATTAAATCATCTAAAGCATGATTAAGAAAGTGCTCAATATCTGAAAGATTTAAGAAACCTTACAGAAAGAGAAACAGTTTGAATAATATCTATTCAAAAAAAGAGAATAACACACAACTTCAGCTTTTTGACCATTACATTCCATCTGTTCATTGCAGCGGAGTTTATTTCCAGGGCACCACCATCGGAATGGCCCCCATTATGAGCATGTGCACAGTGGAGCAGTCTGGAGGCATTGTCATGGTGAGTATTGAAGGAATTGTCAAAAAATTTGCAATCTAACACAATACAACCAGGATTCACAGAGTGGAGTTGCCTATTGTTTGCTGGAAAGGCGCTTCAGGCTTCTGCAGGAAGTCATACTTAATAACATAGTAATTTATGTGCTGACTGACAGCTTTAAAATGATCACAATCACCCATGAAGCGTAAACAGTACTTTTGAAGTCAGGCAGTGCGATAGCAAGTGGGCAGCGATGGAGGATGTTTGGTATTTGGGTTGAAGCTACAGACGAGCAACTGGTTGCTGATCTCACAGAGCAATGTGGAAAATTAAAGTCTGCAGATTTTGAATATGGTTCATTTACATTTTTATGAGAGATGACGAATTGTTTATTTCAGCTCTTTCGTATTGGAATCACAATGGAATTATACATGCAGCTGTGCATCACCTCTGTTTCTAAATCACTACATAATCTAAATCTGATTTTCACTGTTGAGACTTATGTCAAATCCCAAAGTGGTCTTCAGGATAGTGTCATTATAACTAAGCCAAGATGTGTATACCCCATCAAAAAATAAGTTTTGGCTGTTGCTGTGATGAGGCTTTTCCAGATGTTTTCCTTCCCCTGTAACTTGCATAGAGCAGATGGTCTGGATTGAGATTAAAAGGCCAAATAAGCAGTGGGAGGGGAGGAAATGATCTTTTTCTCAAACCATACTGACCATGTGTTCAGCCCCAGTTTTTGCATTTAGGTTTTTAGGTTGTTTTTTTCCCCCACAGAAATAGAAATGACAGAAATATGGTTGGGCCATTTGCCATCACAATAGAACCACAGAGGAACTTGTGGAAGCTTTATATCATTTTATTCATCTGAATATTATTACTTTTTGAGTAAAACTAAACAAAACCAGCTTATGAGTGCATCACACAGATGAACATGGCAAAGGCTGCAGAGAGTTTTCCCATCCTTCCTGTACAGGGTGGGTGCAGCTCCCATGACGCTGCTCTTTAATCAGAGCAGGAAATGGCTCATCCTGGCCTAAGTTTGACTGATGACCGTGCCTTCAAAGGAAGCATGTGATTTTCTCATGTAAGCGTCAGAGAACCACAGTATAGTAAGATATACAGTAGTGGGCGGAGGATCTTTTTTCTCACGGATTTTGAGATGAGCATTTTTTAATCCTTGGTATATTTTAAATAAATGGTCGTTGTAGTATAGCTTTCATTTATCTGAGAGATAGAAACATTCTGAAAAACATTTCTGCATATCACGACACCATGAAAAATTAAGTTTCACAGCTGGTTAGTTTATGCACAAAAACGGTTCGAATGCCGACCTATGGCATTGAAAACTTTAGAACGGCCCTTTGTCACTAGCAGATGGCAACTGTAGCAATGTTAGCAGCCATGGGCGGTTCTAGACAGGGGCCAACGGGTGCCAGTGCCCCTGTAAATCATGTCCTGGCCCCTGTACTGAAGAAATAATACTTAAAAGAAATTCTAATGATGATATGCGCTGGAACAGACATGGTTACTGATAGGTCCTTTGGATCTATTTCTTTTTTTTTTCTTTATAAATTATGTTTTACTAATTATTTAGAATCAATAAGGTGATAGCTTCAGTAGTAGAGGTGAGTATTGGCATGAGTGTTGCGATTCGATACATGTCGCGATACGATATTATCACAATATTGCAGTATCACTATATGTTGCCATATTTTCCCCAGCTATCAAAATCAAATGATGAGATAAAACAGCAAGTGCTGTATGTTTTCATCAGAAAATATTGATTAGGTATTATTATCCATGTTGTTTGGGGTTTTCTTCCACTGTGACTGCCTCAAATACAGATTTGGTGCTGCACGCACAGTTAAAGGGCTCCACAGCGCTTTCTGCCAGTGTTGGTGCAGAGGTAGCCCATCTTCCCATTAATGTTTTATGTAACCATTTTTTCTTTGAAAATCGATACTAAGAAGTGAAAGATCGATATTATATTGGGCAGCCGAATATCACAATATATCGCCAAAACGATTATTTCCCACACCCCTATTCAGTAGTATTGAGATATGATCCCAGTTTTCATCTGCTTAATTTTTTTTTCAAAACAAAAAAGCAACTCAAATTTTTACAGCTGAAATTATCAGTTTTTCTTGAATTCTAATTCAGATTTTATAGAAAATGGTCATTTTTAACTTAAATTAAGTGAAATATATGTAAAATTCCTAAGTTATGAATGTATATTGACCTTTTTTTATTAAACCTAATTGAATAGAAATTTCACTTCATGCAGCTCACTTAATATATTTGAATTGCTTGCCCTGTTTTTTATTTGATACTTTTCTGTGCCTCTATGAAAACATTTGGTCTTGAACCGCAGCTATCAGTTATCTAGTTGTGGTATTTCTACATTTTGTAGTATCACGTCTGTCATTCCACATCTGTTTGGGGTTTTCTTCAGTGCTTTTTTTTTTTATTACACTTATCTTTCAACAGAAAACAAAAGGGCAGTATTTACTTCTTTTCAAACTTCCAAATGAGAGTTTAAAACATGGTTTCCACAGTATTTTAAGTCCAATACCCTCTCATGGAATTTGGGACACATGGTAATCAGTAAGACTTATTTGATAGAGTACAGTCATATGCGGAAAGCAAATTAATAGCACACACACAGTATGGTGTCTTCACATCGGATGCTTTTTGAGCATCAATGAGACGTCAAATTGGACGTTTGTGCATTTTTAGGTTAAAAGCACGTCAAGAACTTTGTTGACAGATGCTTGATGCTCCTAAGAGGCGTCGAGCTTTGAGCTGCTCTCTTCTTTTCCTCATGATTTAGAGAGTTGCTTCTCTTTATTTGCATTGATAAGTTCAAAAAAATGTTTTAACATTTTTTTAAGTGAGACAATACACTTCAAAATGTCACCTGTGTAGTCATCAGGATTGTGATCATACTTTAAAATGTTTTATTGTTGTTCAGCCAGTGAATGTAAAGGATTTAGTAGCACCTGAGAGTAAGTTCTATGGTAAAATACACTATATTGCCAAAAGTATTTGCTCACCCATCCAAATTATTGGAATCAGGTGTTCCAATCACTTCCATGGCCACAGGTGTATAAATTCAAGCACCTAGGCATGCAGACTGTTTTTACAAACATTTGTGAAAGAATGGGTCGCTCTCAGGAGCTCAGTGAATTCCAGCGTGGAACTGTGATAGGATGCCACCTGTGCAACAAATCCAGTCGTGAAATTTCCTCGCTCCTAAATATTCCACAGTCAACTGTCAGCTGTATTATAAGAAAATGGAAGTGTTTGGGAACGACAGCAACTCAGCCACGAAGTGGTAGGCCACGTAAACTGACGGAGCGGGGTCAGCGGATGCTGACGCGCATAGTGCGAAGAGGTCGCCAACTTTCTGCAGAGTCAATCACTACAGACCTCCAAACTTCATGTGGCCTTCAGATTAGCTCAAGAACAGTGCGCAGAGAGCTTCATGGAATGGGTTTCCATGGTCGAGCAGCTGCATCCAAGCCATACATCACCAAGTGCAATGCAAAGCGTCGGATGCGGTGGTGTAAAGCACGCCGCCACTGGACTCTAGAGCAGTGGAGACGCGTTCTCTGGAGTGACGAATCGCGCTTCTCCATCTGGCAATCTGATGGACGGGTCTGGGTTTGGCGGTTGCCAGGAGAACGGTACTTGTCTGACTGCATTGTGCCAAGTGTAAAGTTTGGTGGAGGGGGGATTATGGTGTGAGGTTGTTTTTCAGGAGCTGGGCTTGGCCCCTTAGTTCCAGTGAAAGGAACTCTGAATGCTTCAGCATACCAAGACATTTTGGACAATTCCATGCTCCCAACTTTGTGGGAACAGTTTGGAGCTGGCCCCTTCCTCTTCCAACATGACTGTGCACCAGTGCACAAAGCAAGGTCCATAAAGACATGGATGACAGAGTCTGGTGTGGATGAACTTGACTGGCCTGCACAGAGTCCTGACCTCAACCCGATAGAACACCTTTGGGATGAATTAGAGCGGAGACTGAGAGCCAGGCCTTCTCGTCCAACATCAGTGTGCGACCTCACAAATGCGCTTCTGGAAGAATGGTCAAAAATTCCCATAAACACACTCCTAAACCTTGTGGACAGCCTTCCCAGAAGAGTTGAAGCTGTTCTAGCTGCAAAGGGTGGACCGACGTCATATTGAACCCTATGGATTAGGAACGGGATGTCACTTAAGCTCATATGTGAGTCAAGGCAGGTGAGCAAATACTTTTGGCAATATAGTGTATATAAGTAATATAAGTATGTAGGTATCATATCTTATTAACCATAGTTCAGTAAGAAAATATTTTAGTTGAGTAATATTAATCAGAGCACTCTTTTTTCCTTGTACATTAAACATATATTCTCCTGGCCTTTTATGTAAAACCAGAGGAGTTAAACCCCTTCATATATTCATTTTTCATAGCTTTATGCTGACAGCTCTATAGGAGGAGAGATTACAGCTTGAATGTAGAGTCAGTCTCCCTTGATTGAGCTGAAAAAGTTCAGTTTTTCCATATCCTGTATCCTCCTCTTTGGACGTTCGATGCCCCATGCTGGAAACACTGCAAGCCCTTCCCCAGCTCCTGCTGCTCAAATCATGCTGCAGGACCTCTGGATGCCCCTTCTTACCATTCACCATAAACTTTGCACGTCAACCAGATAGCGTTACACTGAAAACTCGTTCAGTTTGAACACACCAATAGTCTATGCCTTATTAATATTCTGCCTATTCAAAACCTTATTCTCTAAAATTATTTCTGTATGAAAGAGCTGTTCTTGCTTGTTCTTGTTCCATCTCTGTCTGTCCGGGGGAGATATACCTGTCTTTCTTATCAGAGGAATCATACCGATGTCTAATGCAGCACCCTGCAGTAGCTTTCTCTACTGGAAGTCAGTCTAATTTGGTCTGCAGTGGAGGTGGTTGTGTAGATCTAATAAAGTTTCCATGAAGAAAATGAATAAGAGGAAAGCAAATCGTAATGCTATAAATTGCTTAAAAATGCCCTTGTCTGATGTTTCCATCTTATTTTTTGTCTTTTGTCTTTTAAATTAATTTAAGGTGTTAACTAATTTTAAACGCATTTGGTTGCCTTTTTTTTTTAAGGATCACTCTGAGAACCCACTGGGTGCAGCTGTAACTTTGGCACATGAACTCGGACACAATTTTGGCATGAATCATGACACCCCAGAGCGCGGCTGTGGCTGTAGAATGACAGTGGATCGTGGAGGCTGCATCATGACACCATCCACAGGGTAAGATTTTATGAAAGCCTTGTTCCCAAAATGTGGAAATTATGACAAATTTAACGCAAAAATGACTACTACTACTATGAAGATGCAATCATAAAGCAGATACATAAATTTTCATAGTAGCAAAACTAAAACCACAACTGGTTTTCACTGTGCAAATCCCACCCTGTGAACCTATTCACATGTGTGACATTAAAAGCACAAAGTTTGATGAATTTTATTCGGGCTTCAAATAACAATCCAATCTAAATTGCAAAAGCATCAATATATAACCTTTTTTTCATAAATCTAAGTCATAAATGTAAAACATGGATTCATATTCAGGCTATTTGATTCCATGTTTTTTTTATTCTCTATGATTACAACAGCAGGTCTTAAGGGTTATGTCTCTGTCAACTTAAAAAAGAAATGTTTTGACCATTCTAATAATCTAATAAATTAACCCCGATCATAATAGACGACATGCGTTCTTGAAAAACGGTATTAAGGCTTTTGCCACGAATTTTGGATTTGGTTCTAGACCTATCCATTGCCACAGTACCAATGAGGGATTTCCAAAGTGTGGTTTGAGGACCATAATTTGTGTGGCCCCTGACAACCATTAAAGAATGATCATAATATGACTCTTAAACAAATTACGCTGATGTGGGTAGTTTGAAAAAATGTGGGTTGAAATTTTATTGACAAATCTGCATCTTCCAATGTAAGTAAAAGGTGAAACACCAAATATTTTTACCATGATTTTATTTATTTTATTTTTTTTTTTTGCTTTTTTTTATTTATTTATTTTATGATTATAAACCTACAGCAACTTTTTGGTATATGGGCAAGCCCATTTCAATTTTCAAAAAAGCCTCTTACAGCTGGGAAAGGTCTAAAGACATTTTCTACACCAAACCATAGAGAAGATCCATTCATTATTCTTTATTAGGGCATACAGTGGGGCAAAAAAGTATTTAGTCAGCCACCAATAGTGCAAGTTCTCCCACTTAAAAAGATGAGAGAGGCCGGTAATTTTCATCATAGATATACCTCAACTATGAGAGACAAAATGAGAAAAAAAAATCCTGAAAATCACATGGTCTGATTTTTAAAGAATTTATTTGCAAAATATGGTGGAAAATAAGTATTTGGTCAGTTACAAACAAGCAAGATTTCTGGCTCTCACAGACCTGTAACTTCTTCTGTAAGAGGCTCCTCTGTCCTCCACTCGTTACCTTCATTAATGGCACCTGTTTGAACCCGTTATCAGTATAAAAGACACCTGTCCACAACCTCAAACAGTCACACTCTAAACTCCACCATGGCCAAAACTAGAGAGCTGTCAAAGGACACCCGAAACAAAATTATAGACCTGCACCAGGCTGGGAAGTCTGAATCTGCAATAGGTAAACAGCTTGGTGTGAAGAAATCAACTGTGGGATTAATTATTAGGAAATGGAAAACATACAAGACCACTGATAATCTTCCTCGATCTGGGGCTCCACGCAAGATCTCACCCCGTGGGGTCAAAATGATCACAAGAACGGTGAGTAAAAATCCCAGAACCACACGGGGGGACCTAGTGAATGACCTGCAGAGAGCTGGGACCAAAGTAACAAAGGCTACCATCAGTAACACACTACGCCGCCAGGGACTCAAATCCTGCAGTGCCAGACATGTCCCCCTGCTTAAAGCTGAAGTCTGTAAGTTTTTAAAAATCACTTTTTTGACATATTGGCTAAAACTGTCCCTATGCCCAGCAGCAGTACATGTGATATGTAACTAGGGCTGCAACTAACGATTATTTTGAAAATCGATGAATCGGCCGATTATTTTTTCGATTAATCGATGAATCGGACACAAAATATTTTTTTTATATTAACCTCTTCATTCCAAAATAAACATTTTAGACAGAACAAACAAGCACGCAAGTACAGGTTTCTCATTAACTGTACTGGTGCAATATGAAAAATAAATGTTTGTGTTAAAACTACGCAAACTTACATGAGAAATGTAGCTGTACATCCACAAAATATAGGGTATTTTGTTTCATAAAGCGCAAAAAGAGACAGGCATTTTTGTTTTTTAAAGCCCCTAAGGGGTTCAAACAATAGCCCCCCCCATTTCAACAAATGAGGTTTTTATAGACTAGAAGAGTTCTGCCTTTTAAGACAGGAAAGTATAGCAGTTAAAGTTGCTACTTGAGAAAATACTGAACCATAGAGATAAAAATAGCCCTGTGATTCAAATTATAAATTGTATTTGGAATAAAAATGAGAGAACTAGGGGTGGTAAAAAAACACATCCTCCAAAGACAGATATTTACATGGGAATGTGGCATATAATTAATTGACATATTACTGATCTGGCTGGATTTTATTCTGCTTTACTTCCATAAATTGCAGGATCTTCTTTACTTTATCTTTGCCAGAAGATTTAAACTTTAAAAGCCTTGCCCTCATAATTTGCAAATAAATTTATTTATAAAGAAAATATAAACGCTGCTTAAGCTAATTCAAATGAAATTAAAAGTAAAATAAGAAGCCAACCTTATCACTGTCTGTAACCTACTAACAAGCTAAGGAAAGCATCAGATGAGCTACCTGAGAAACTAACGTAACGTTTCCCCACTTTAAAATGAAACAAACATGGTTACTCATCCTGCTGATGAGCTCTCTTCACTGCCATTGAAGGCCCCAACGTGTTTTCTTTTCAGGTGCTGCGTCATAACAGTGGTGCTTCCGTGCCATGTTTATTTGTTTTTACAAAAGTTGCATGTTACGACTTTTTTCACTTTACAAAGCGCAGGCTATTTTAATTATTGTGATCAATTTGCGCCGTCAATCCCGGGGCATGCGCGCTTCATTTGCAGTCTGGACGCTGAGGGTAAACTCCTCACTAAAATCCTGCGGCTCTGACTGCCCCGCTGAGAGGGATTCCTGTGGGAGAGAGAGAAAGGGGTTGGGATGGGGGAGGCGCCCCACGGCAGCAGCTGCCGCTGGAGGAGAAGAGTAGGAACGATACATGCTTTCACGTAAGAGTCTCCAAAAGCCGCCAGTGACACCGAAAAAAGTCGCCAGATTTGTCGCTAGTAGCTTTTTAAAGAAATAGTCGCTGGAGGGGTCTGAAAAGTCGCTGAGTTGTCAACACTGCAACTGCGGCGCTGACTCGCTCCGCCATATTTTTTTTTCTTCCCCGGGATGACGGCGGCGGCGGATGACGCATTAATCGCGCGACACAACTAATCGATGATTAAATTCGTTGCCAACGCTTTTAAAAGTCGATTTTTATCGATTTTATCGATTCGTTGTTGCAGCCCTATATGTAACCTGTGAAAAAAACTGCTTCAATTGGTACCGCCTACTGCCTGTATTTCAATCTGGAAAGAATAATTTGGGACGAGTCAAAACAACCAATCACAGCCAGAGGAGCGTCTGATGGAGTGTCAATCACAGCTCACACACGCTGAATCCCAACCCCCCCCCCCCCCCCCCCCCCCCCCTTCTGGTCGCATGCGGTAGCCGCGCAGATGCTGTGAGAGGGGTGGAGCTTGGAGGTGGGGCATGAGTGAAGCAGAGAGGGTGGGGGAGTGGCGTGAAACCTGTTTTTCTTCAAATTTTCAGTAGAAGTCTGCTCTCTCCTCAATGTTACAGACTGCAGCTTTAAGCCAGTACATGTCAAGGCCCGTCTCAAGATTGCTAGAGAGCATTTGGATGATCCAGACGATGACTGGGAGAATATCATATGGTCAGATGAAACCAAAATAGAACTTTTTGGTAAAAACTCTACTCGTCGTGTTTGGAGGAGAGAGAATGCTGAGTTGCATCCAAAGAACGCCAGTGTTGTGCCTGAACGCGTTCATTGAACGAAAGTTCATGAACTCGTTCATATTTTGGGCGAACGTGAACTGAACGTACTGCATTACTGCCTGATGAACGTTATTGTGAACTCGTTCATTCTGGTGTCTGTGAACGGCACGCTCTCTCAGTTCAGCTCCGTTCAATAGGTTGCCACATTTCTATAGAGCCCTCCAGGCGAAACCCCAGCTGAATCACACCGTAAACAAGCCTTAATATGTAGCAGGAAAAACACCCAATCTGGCAACACCAGCTACCAGCGTCGTAGCCTACAGCCGCGTGCGTCATCAAAACAAAATGCAGCCTGGAAGCCACAGCAGCATGGAGGCGACCGTGGAGGCGACAAAGCAGCAGTATGATCACTTAATACAGGTTTATGACCAGGTGGTCGGTGAGGATGATGGCAACAAGTTTGCCCGCCGGCTTTCAGTAAAAAAATCCGCACTTCGGTAACCTTAAATTCCTACCTCAGCCTGGTCCCTCAGTTTGTGTTAGTAAAATCTTCTTGAGCGGAGGTCTTCACCAGGGGATCCGCGACCCCTAGGGGGTCTACGGAGGTACTGCATGAGGGTCTGCATGGTTAGTTGATATTTTTATATTCCCCCACAGCAATTTTTTCCCCCACTAATTGAAATGTCTTTAAATACTCATTAACATGAAATCAACACACTGTAGTAAACAGATAAAGGAGACAAAAGATGTCTTTCAGTCATCAATGCACACATTCAGCGACACACAGGAGCTCTTTCAAGCTGGGCACCGTTTCCTTCACAACAACCAGGAATCAGAATCAGAAAAACTTTAATAATCCCAGGGAGAAATTAATTTCTTTACATTACTCCATCTGTAATAGAGTGACTATAGGACACAATTTCATACAATATATATGGTTAGGGGGTCCCCGCTCCATCTCGCCATCAGTTTGGGGGTCCTTGGTCTGGAAAACATAGAAGACCCCTGTTCTTGAGGGTTTTACTATCCATGTAACTTGTTTGTTAAACCTGCCTGGTATAATTTTCCAGGATTCCAGTATTCCTTTTTAGTATGTATTGAAATTGAATTTCAAATGGAAAAAATTATTAAAATAAAAAAAAAAACATTTGCACCTTAAAGACTACTTTCCTATTTTTCTTTTAATAATTACTCATAAAAAGACCATTCAAG